AGTGGCTTACAGTAAAACTAATACAATACAATTTAAAGGCTAAAAATATACAAACATTAAAGTAGAATTAAATGTTAACAACATTAAAAAATAAACAAGTTAAAACCCTAAAAACTAATTTAAAATCGAAGGCTTTCATGGCTGGAATCACTAGGTTCTTGTGGTTTTTTTCGGGCTATAGAGCCATGTTCTAGAGGCATTTCTCCTGACGTTTCGCCTGCATCTATGGCAAAATGCTACGTTCAGCAAAGGACAAGAGGGATCCTCTCACTTCTGCAGGAGTCTACCGTATACCATGCAGCTGTGGACAAGTCTACATAGGGACCACCAAACGCAGCGCCCAACACGCATCAAGGAACATGAAAGGCACTGCAGACTACTTCAACCAGAGAAGTCAGCCATAGCAGAGCACCTGATGAACCAGCCTGGACACAGCATATTATTAGAGAACACAGAAATGCTGGACCACACCAACAACCACCATGTCAGACTACACAGAGAAGCCATTGAAATCCACAAGCATGTGGACAATTTCAACAGAAAGGAAGAGACCATGAAAACGAACAAAATCTGGCTACCAGTATTAAAAAAACTCTAAAATTACAACAGCAAAACAACAGAGAGGAAAAAACCAGGCACAGATTAACACCTCCCAGCAACAGATTTTCCCAGGCTCAGGCAGGCCTTCAAATGCCAATGAAGGTGATCAGCTAAACATTCACACCTAAATGCAGCAGGGAAGAGCTCCTTGCCCCACCCCAGCCATTCCACAGATATATAAACCCATTTTTCCTACTTCCAACAGACCTCAACCTCTGAGGATGCTTGCCATAGATGCAGGCGAAACGTCAGGAGAAATGCCTCTAGAACATGGCTCTATAGCCCGAAAAAACCCACAAGAACCGAATTTAAAATCTATTCATAGCACCTCCTGACTTGATCTTAAAAACTTCAGTCTTCAAAAACCTGCCTGAATAAAAATGTTTTTGTCTGCCACCAGAAGGACAGCAAGGAGGAGGCCAATCTGGCTTCCCTGGGAAGAAAGGAATTCTAGGAAATTCTCTTGTTCCCACCAACTGAGCTTGCGATTAGGGTGTTATCAAGAAAACTGCCTCTCCTGAGGATCTTAGGGCTCATGCTCTTTTGCTTATTTTTCTGAGAGGAGGAAAGAAAAATAAATGCCACTGAAGGAAAACACATTTGTTATGATACATCATTCATGGTGAATAGAATCATAGAATCAAAGAGTTGGAAGAGACCTCATGGGCCATCCAGTCCAACTCCCTGCCAAGAAGCAGGAATAATGATTTTGTACCAAAGGTGATGGTCTGTTGTGTGTCATGACTCCCACCTCCGATAACTTCTGCTTGCTAGACACCCACTTGTGTGATTTACAGAGACCACAAAGAAGAAGGACACGTTGCTTACCTGTAACTGTATTTCTTGGAGTGCTCATCTGTGAATTCACACAATCCCACCCATCTTCACCACACAGGGGACATGCTATCTCATGTCTCACTACGGGCTGCAGCTGCGGCCTAGAAACTGAGGAGTTATGGTGGCAACCTGGCCTTATATAGCCTCGGGATGGTGGACAGGGTTTCTCCCGAAACTGTTCTGTCTAGTGATTCTAAATAGTTCCGAACAGTCCTCTGCACCTTTTGTGAATTCACAGATGACCACTCTAAGAAATACAGTTACAGGGAAGCAGCCTGTCCTCCTCATCTAGCATGGTTGTGATGCACCATACAAATCTTCATGTATATGCCATCCCTGGGGTTTCATAAGAATGCCTGCATCTTCTTAGTACATGGAACCATCACATGCAATTCTTGCTTTTCATTTATTTTACAGATTGCTGTTTTCTTTTGTCATTTTAAAGTATTTGCATGCAAACCCATTTTGTACCATTTTTGACGGAAAGTGACTTACATTATCAATATAGAATCATAGGGTTAGAGGGGACCTCGTGAGGCATTGAGTTCAACCCCCTTACTCAAGGGTTTGTATACAGGAAATGTTAATATTGTTAACATTTACTGTTTTAACTTATACATTGTTTAATTGTTTTTCAATCTAGTATTTATATTTTTATTGATTTTATAATGTTTAACATATTTTAATATGTTAAACATATTATTTATCAATCAGTGATTTATTTCGGTCTTTGACCAGCACAGTATAGAATGGGGCACCGGTGTCCAAGGAAGGGAATCGCAGTTCCCAAGTAGGTCAGGTATAAAAGCAGATTAAAAACATGTTATAAAAGAGACAAATTAAAAAGATAAAACAGACTAAAGTTACAGTTTAAAGTGCATGTATGAATCTAAAATAGGGGGGCGGCTAATAACAAATATCAGACAACTGGGAAGCTCTAAAAAGGGATTAGAGGGGAGCATTTACAGCATTTCAATTATTACAAATCATTCTAACTATATTCCCGGCAGGAAGTTACCTGGTGGAGTCAGTCATCAGCCGTCTAATGTTAATTGCTGCTTCACAGAACTTGGCAACACTATAGGCTGTCGCAGAGCAAGAGTCCGAGAGCAACAGGAGGGTGTAATCTCTTTCAGTGCGCCCTGGATGTTTTAAAAGCCATGGAGTGATGAAATTAGCTCTAATGTCTCTATAGAATACACATTGGAGGAGCACATGTTCAGTTGTTTCAATGTAGCCAGACTCACACGGGCATAGTCTCTCCTGGGCAGTACTGCTGATGGAAGGGCATGGCATCTTGCCAAAGTGAAAGCTCTTCGGTGTTTAGGCACCTCCAGGTTTGCTAAGCAAGCCATGGGAGCGATGAGATATCTGTTATCTTCGCTAATGGTGAATTCTGGGGAGCAGGCTAAGTCTGATTGTCGCTCTATATCCAGGATCCGTTGTCTAATAAGATCTTTGGCTTGGTCCCATCCCATACCTAGCAGTTGTCCTTGAGAGAAGCCTAGAGTTGCAATTTTGGTTGCCACTACCTTATTCCATTTAGACTGAAATTCATCTCTCAGAGTTAACGGGGCAAGGCCACATGTTGAGAAAGACAGATGCAGCCAATAACTGAGGGTGGCTGTCCACACTCTTGCCTCCAACATATTATTTTAATATTTTAATATGTTGAAAGTAGGTCAGTAGTGGTATATAGGTAGGTAGCGCTGGCACTTCCAAGTTTCAGAAGCAAAAAAAAAAAAGTTAAAAAATAAAATTCTAGTACTGTTAGCAGAGTAAAATAAAATAAAAATACCCAAAATGCCCTTTCTACTCACCCCCCCACCCCAAACGCATACCCACCCTTACCTTCCTAGCATAATTTGGAAAATAACAGATGAAATAAGGAAGATATTATAAAGATAATAATAAATGAAAAGTCGAAAAAAAGAATTCTCAAAAAACGAGTAATGCTGATGCTCCTAAACAAAGGCAAGCAGTAACAGGCACTGAAGAAATGAACGAACGAAGCTAGAAGCACATACGTTCTCTCTCTCTCTCCAACGCCACGCCAGCCATGGAAAATGGAGGACCTCACAGAGCTATATATAGAGCAAACTTTGCAAAAGACACGTGATCCACTTCCTTCTTCTGATTCACTATGGCTAGGCAAATGAAGAAGAAAAACTGCATGTAGCTGCTCTTTTCAATCACACTAGCCTCAGTTTGCGCTCCATGCAGTCATGCCGGCCACATGACCTTGGAGGTGTCTACGGACAACGCTGGCTCTTCGGCTTAGAAATGGAGATGAGCACCACACTCCAGAGTCAGACATGACTGGACTTAATGTCAGGGGACTACCTTTACCTAGCCTCAGTTCAGCCCTGGAGTAAAATCTCAAGAAAAATGACTCTGAATCAACAAATCCTTCCTGAATTTAGCCGAAAGATCTGACGGCTCATGTTCTGTTCTCATAAGGCTTCAGAGGGGGTCGTTCCTGGTTCATATTGTGGCAATTCATGTGCAAAATCGCCGAAAATATTCAAAATCCAAATCAACTTCTGGAATTTTGCATATCTATATAAATAAAAATGTAATATTCCTTTGTGGTATTAACAGAACTCAAAAACCACTGGGCAAATTGACACCAAATTTGGCCACAAGACACCTACTAACCCAGTGAGTGACCATCACTCAAAAAAATTGAGTTTGTCATTTGGGAGTTGTAGTTGCTGGGAATTATAGTTCACCTACAATCAAAGAGCATTCTGAACTCTACCAATAATGGAATTGAACCAAATGTGGCACACAGGACTACCATGACCAACAGAAAACATTAGAAGGGTTTGGTGGGCATTGACCTTGTGCTTGAGAGTTGTAGTTCACCTACATCCAGAGAGCACTGTGGACTCAAACAATGATGGATCTGGATCAAACTTGACGTGAATATTGCATATGCCCAAATACACAGATGGAGTTTGGGGAAAATAGACCTTGACATTTGGGAGTTGTAGTTACTGGGATTTATAGTTCACCGACAATCAAGGAGAATCAACGAGAAAAGTGGGGCAAACTTCCCACACAGAACCCCGTGACCAACAGAAAATACTTAAGGCCATCCAGTCCAACTCACTTCACCAGGGCAAGCAAACGTAAACAAAGCCCTCCTGACAAAGAGCCATCCAGCCATAGATATAGATAGATATGATTTGAAAGGGACCCCTAAAGAAGGACTGTATGTTCCAGAGTAGGCAAACCAGACAATCTCTACATCGACACTGACAAAGAAACAAGAAGTACTGTTTATCCACAAGCATAAAGAAATTCCATATATTAGAAACTTAATTTTATTTATTTTCAAGATCACCAGACTGGGCCACAGCAACGCGTGGCAGGGGACAGCTAGTCTCTAATATTTAAAGAGTGTGATCATGTTCCACTCAGTCTTCTCACTAAGCCAACATTCAGGTTCTTTTAGTTTTTCCTCATAGTATACATTCTTCTTGCTGTATTTGATCCTTTTAGTTTTGTGCCACATTTTTGAGAAACATTTTGATCCATGCCTTTGCTTTGCTTTCTAGAGTAACGAGAAATTTCATAATGGTACTGTTCAACGCAAGTTGAAGTATGAGGTAAGTTATAGCTTATCATCTTGAGAAAGTGCTGATCTTAAATTACAGCATGCTCTCTAATTAAATTCCTTAACATTTTGCAGCATAATTATAATTCTATATTCCAGCAAGATTAATGACCAATGGAAAAGGCTTCAAATTAAATCTGCTGTCTGGTGAAGGTTTGGGTAATTTTGATTATGGTGATAGTTGTCGAATGTTATAATGTGACAACAATATCCTTTGAAAGCTCTATAAGAAAGAAACAAAGGTTTTACTTAGAAGTAATTGCTTATAATACAGATTGCACTAGATTTGTCTAAATTCCAGCTATTTTACTGGCCTGAGAGGGAACCTTTTTCGTCAGTAGTATACAATCTGTCACCAAGAATAATTCTCTTTCAGTTTTTGAAAACTTTTAAGTACAATGTGGAACTATGTTTGCTTAAATAAGTTGAAAGACTCTTAAGACTCATTGTATTTTTTCATTACTCCATCCCAAATTAAAATAGATATGTTCCAGTCAGTTTGATTTTTGAATAAGTGTATTTGGTTCTTTCTTTTTTAGGAATTGGGAATGTGGGCTTCAATCAATTCACAAAATTGGGTGTTCTTTCATTTAGAAATACTGTATAAACTGATTTTATAGAATGTATACTGCTTTGAATGCAAAGGGAAATCCTGGTTTTTCTTTTTGGATCATGATCAATTTAATTTTGTTTTAATCTTAAGTAATTGGTTGCACAACACAATTGAACCTATATGTAAAATTTTAAATCAGAACAGTTTTCCTATTGATTACATAAAGGGATCTGTTCTGTATTTGTTCTGTTTTGTTTCTTAAATTTTTAAGCAAAGAAGACAGCACTGGCTACCACTTTATACCTTTTTTGCACTATCCAACAATGGCGACCATTTTCATAATCCCTGTGGTGAAGACACAAGAATAACAGCCATCAGTGAACAGGACAAAAATATAGAAACATATAATCCATGCTGGAGAACAGTTCTGCCGTTCTATATGACTCAAAAAGCTACAAATAAAATTCGGTTTCAAATGCAATGCATCAAATATTTGTGCAGTGATGAAAATGAATCTCATCAACCTGGAATCCTGAAGAACAAGAGAAATTGCTCTACAGGGTTGCTTCCTCAACCTCATGATGGATATGAAATTACTCATTTGTCAGACCACAGAGCAGAGCTCCATCATTCTGGAAATACAAGCCTACCTGGTGCTTCCTGGGAATATAATACCACAGGAACTGAACCGGATTCTTTCTATGCCTACCTTACATCTTCAGAACATTTAGCCTGTGATAGACATCAATCTGGTGCTTGCTGTTCTCTTTCTTGCAGAGAATATTGTGATAAAATTCCTCCAGTTTCTGAACACATTCAAAACCAGCTTTTGGATGAGATGGCTATAAAAACCAGCCAGCAACATCTATCAGATTCAGAAGTGGGAACAAAAGACATTTACAGCCTGGGGCATCTCTTGAGGAAATTATCTACTTTATACAATGAAAGCAACAGCCATTTAATTAAGCATAGCTGGATTTCCAAGTCTATCAAAGATCTAGCCAGTTTGTATGATAAAGATGATAGGTATATATGGATGTCATCACTGGTTAAAAGGTTTCCATTTGTTAAAAAATTAAAGTTAAATGAGCTTTTAGGCAAAGAAGAAATTGGCACTCACAAAGTCAGTACTTTCCTGGGAAGTCCTTTGGAGAAAGATGATGCCATGAAGTCCTTGTGCTCAGATATCTCAAGTGATCTGGATACAAAAGATCACACTGAGGCTCCTAGTGATTGTTGTGGAAATGAAATACTGACAACTAACCTAGTGATTAGGCAAAATTTTGTAAGCTTCTCTGATGTGCTTCTGAAATTGCAGTCATATCATTGGACTGAATTACTTCAATATTTGTTCTGTATCTTCCCAGAAATTCATGCCAAACCCAATGAGTTAAAAGGAATATATTGGATTGCTTTGGAAAACTATAAAAAACCAGGTCCAGAGCCTGCATGCTTGCTTTTATTTGGTTCTGTTTTGTATGCCATCATTTCATCATCCAGTCAACTGGGGAGCAGTCGGGACTCTCTGGAAATGTTTCATATCCCAGTGACTACATTAACTGAAATCCAGATTGGGTATGCTGGACAGCACATTCAACTTTTGTGTTCCAATGAAGAAAACGGAATGAAACTATTTACCTTTAACAAATATTTCACACAAAGAATATGCCATGACATACTTAGCACCTTGATTTCCTCCTCAGATTATGCTTGCTTAAATCATCCCCTTTTAAAAGGTGATCTGTTAAAACTTTCACTTGATTGGAGTTCAAGACTTACTAACTTAACATTTGAAAGCGGCCTGTGTCTGTCATGCAATTTTGAGAAAAAATTAGCCGATCTGGTTTACTTACTCCATGAAAACATGGAAATCAACAAACCCTCTTTAGGAGAAGTTCAGATCCTGCTCTATACAACAGTGAAGTTGGCAGGTGAAATCCGCTCACTCATCCTCACGACTACTCATGTGGGTCTTCTACAAGAGTTTTGTGGCCCTCCACTGCATTCCTTCACTGATATTGTGCAGTTTGACCAAATTCAGATACATTGTTTAAGTGAGCTGAAGTGTGTGATAGTCTCAGAGAAAGATAATCTAGTAGAGATAGAGCTTGCATTTTTGAAAGGAAATAAGGGTGGTTGTGATCCAGCCAAGAGTTTATCTTGCATTACTCAACGAGAAAAAAATGTCTCAATGAGATGCGTTTCATCCTTTTGTAATATCCATGGAAGTGTTCCGTCAGATATCTGGAAACTGACATTCAGTTCACATGAAGATGCTACTAGGCTCATGCACCATTTGACAGGATAGTTATTTTAGACCTTAAACACAGTAGTGAAAATCTGGTATTTGGGGAAAACATGCAAATAAACCTAATGTATCTCTTCTCTGTGTATGTGTGTTCAGGTATTTCTCCAATGAGAAATATACTTGATTTTAGGAAATGGGTTTGCTTTTGGAGAAATGCTATTGGGCCAGAAATACCCATAGTAGTTTTATCAGGGAATCATTTTTATGTGTTAGTGATAATAATAATAATATTTATTTATTTGATCAGTCATATGACCATTTCAAAATAGAACACGAGTAAAAAAACAAGGCAAAAAGGTGAGGACAGCAGCGGACCTTCTATTTATGGTCAGAATCTTATTTTCCTGGTACTTCTTTCAGGAAATCTGCTCTTTTCTTACTAGCTTTCAGAATAAAAAGGCTTACTCTGATTATGCTGGATCTTTCCTGCCCTTGTAAGAGGGATGTCAGAATATCATTTCTGTTGGGGGACCTGCAGTTGGATAATATTGGATGTAAATATCTGTCTCACAGTTCAGTGTATGCTGGACAGTCAATTAAGAAATGCTCAATGTCTTCCACTGTTTGTTCTCCCCAGACGCAGAATCTCTCACTTCTTGGGATGTTACAGTAGCGCCCGGTTTGCACCATAGTACTGAGTTGCTCAGACCTAGCCCTAGTATATATTCTTCTTAATGGTAGAGTGTTAGTGTTAAGCATTAGTATCAATTCCTTAAGACAGAGGAAGAGATGTTCATGTTCTCCAGCTATCTTGTGCCACATGAGACAATATTTATTGGCTTCTCATATGTGAAGCTACTTCATAGGACAAAAATCTTGAGTTCTGAATTCAGAATACTATTGTATTTGGGAAGACATGGCTTGAGGTTTGAGATGTGAGGCCAATCATATGTAGGGATTAATCTCTTTTTTGTATGAGATTAATATTTGCCAGGCAGTAATGACAACAATGAATCTGGTGGGACTTTAGAGGATAAAACAATCATTGTGGCATAAGCTTTCTTGGACACTGTTCCATTGAATCAAAAGCCAAATTATGAGTCACAGATGGCAATGAATATTTGTTTCTCTGTACTTATTTGGGAAGGACCAGCTTCAAAGCAGCAGATTTTCTGCAGATATAATAATAATAATAATAATAATAATAATAATAATAATAATAATAATGACACAGTGATTTCACCTTCTCACTTCGTTTAGCTTTTCTTCAACAAAACTCATGTTACCCTCCCTTTCTTCAATAAACACAGCTATGCTCATTTCGACTGTTAAGATTTGTTCTTTCTATGTCAAGTCTATCATATATTTGCAACTGTCAATACATACTGTTTTTTGTTTATTCGAAGACAACATTGATTGTAAGTCACACACTAATTTCAGTACCGGCTACATAGAAAGCTTTATTTATATGTCTTTCTAAAAGCTCCTGCAATTCTAAGATGCACCCCATTGTTAAAGATGTCAATATGTGTGTGTGGCCGGGGGGGGGGGGGTGTCTTAAAACTGAAGAAACCCAATAGTTTACTTCTTAAAATATAAACACCAGGTTGCACACAGAGGCAAAAATAAACATGTTACACTTTTCAAATATAATAATGTGTATCTGTATTCCAAACTTGCTAGTAAGTTATCCTAAGAATCTTTTCTTAGGATGATTTCTTAGCAAAAAGGTCTAGATTTTCAATGTAAGTGGATATATTGTTGTATAAATGGGGGCATCCAAAAATGTGGATTGTCTATGAGCGAGACTGCTATTACCAGAAGTGATGATGGTGTGTGTTCTAAAATAATAACAAAGAGAAGACAATTTTGAAAATAATTTGCCAACTACTTGTTCAGAACATTTCTACATGTTCCTATAAGTAAATCTACTTTTGCACCCATGATTTTAAAATATCAGAAATAAGTTATTAATGGCCTTAAGGAAAAAAAACCCCAGTAAATTAGAATAGATACAAGTTCTTAGAGGAAAATTTCATTTTATAATGTTGACTTTGCTTATAACAAATTAAAAGTGCATACCAAAATATGCACACACATGTATCGTTTTAATTTACTTCAGTAAAAAATCAGTTCAGTTGATAAAGTTGCTGGTTGCTTCGGTCTTGCCAATTGTTTACAATCATTATTTTTTCTCCAAATAGTTCTTTCATTCAGATTAGCATATTACTTGACAAAATGTTGGCTGTAATGTCTTCCAAACAACATGAAGGAACTTTAACCAGATATTTAAAGAAATCTGGGAGGGACAGCGAGAAATTTTGCCTTGGAGGGCTTCTGTATTTTTCTTCCTAATAAAATTACACACCGAAGTCTTTCAAACATATTCAGAAGCCTTGTTGTTCATTCAGAAAAATACAACAAAATATAAAATTCAGAAAACTCCTCTGAGCCTCAGCAAGGGACAGCTAACTTTGCACAGGACAGGTCCTGGGTTTCTCTTAAATGTTATTACCCAGCTTTTATTGTCCTTTGTTTCTGAACTTTTGCCTACATTGAGATCCCTCCAAAAACTGAATTTCAGCAGAAAAAATATATGGTGCAAAATGCAGGCCAGTGACTCTACCATTGCCACTTTTCTTCTCCTGAATGGTTTTTACCTAAAGAAGTCAGAGCAGCTTTGAAAGCTTGCATGATGTGTTTTGTATATTTTGGGTGTCTGAGAAATGTCTCATTTTTTTTTTGGTAGATTTTGTATTTTGAAGCTTTCCTTCAAAGGAGAGATTTGGATTAATTGGTCCTTCTAGTTCTTTTCATTCAAAATTCTGTTCCAAATGCACAGGATAGCTAATTTTGTTTGTATTTAGTATCATGCTTACAGTGTGATCATATGCATGCTTATTTAAAGATAATCTGCCAAGTCTATCCATTTGCTCCAAGTGAAGTGCCTGTAGGATGAAATGATGCCAGCACTTATATTAATCTGCCCTTTGTATTGTCGAAGGCTTTCATGGCCGGAATCACTGGGTTGTTGTAGGTTTTTTCGGGCTATATGGCTATGGTCTAGAGGCATTCTCTCCTGACGTTTCGCCTGCATCTATGGCAAGCATCCTCAGAGGTAGTGAGGTCTGTTGGAACTAGGAAAAAGGGTTTATATATCTGTGGAATGACCAGGGTGGGACAAAGGACTCTTGTCTGCTGCAGTCTAATCACCTCTCAACAAAAGATTGCTCCAGGCACAGTCAGGCCATCAAACGCTAATCAAGGGGATCAGTTGAAACATTCACACCTAGCTCCAAGCAGACAAGAGTTCTTTGTCCCACCCTGGTCATTCCACAGATATATAAACCCTTTTTCCTAGTTCCAACAGACCTCACTACTGAGGATGCTTGCCATAGATGCAGGCGAAACATCAGGAGAGAATGCCTCTAGAACATGGCCATATAGCCCGAAAAAACTTACAACAACCCAATCTGCCCTTTCTTTGCAATCATAATGGAAGGATGTGTTATGCATTTACCTATCTTTTAAGGGTAAATTACTTCTTCTGTACTGCTGTTCAGTTGGGAGAATTCCTTTTACAAATACGGTCACTTCATGCTATTTTTTTCACAGTACCAAATCAGATGTTTTTATTTTGTTATCTCCTGAAATTTTCAATTTTCAGTTGTTTTCTGTTCTGAAGGTGTGTGCATGGAATAAATAAATATATTCTGTATTGTTTTATTTCTGATTTAAAATTTTTATGGTTATGGATTGGATGCTGAATTGCCCTGCTACAAGTAGAAGGACTTCTTCCATTTGTAGAAGGGATTACAATACAGCAAAGACTCCCTTTAAAATGAGTGATTTTCTCTGATTCATCCTTATCACTTCCCATGCTTTTCTGAAGAGCACACTAGCTTTACAGAGCAGGTTTTCAAGGGATATCAGGGGGAAAAGATGAATGGGGAGAAGTAATTTCTTTCCTCTTCTGCCTGCAAGAACATCCCGTGAGTGGAGTTTTGACCAACAAATACAGAGGATCCAAGGCTGTATGCTTATGTTATGCATTTAGATGAAACTACGTTTTTTCCTTGTGTGTTTTCCGCTGTTACAAAAGCTGTTACTAAAGCTGCAAAAAGAGCAAGCAACACTTTGTAGTGATGTTTTCCATTTTCTCCCCTGTATCATAAAGAAGTGCTTGGCCATTCAGAAGAGGATTACAATTCACTTCTGCTTAAATCCGTCTTTTAAAAAAATAATCTTATTTTATTTTACTTCCCCGTCAAGTAACATGCCTTGGCCTCATAGGGTATTGTTCATAGAGTGATGTGGGTTTTAATTTGTTCTTCCTGTTTGATATTCATTTGATAGCGAATGATCTGTCGCTCTGGTAAAACAAACCCAGATGACCTAAAGAATCCAGTTAAAATTAGTATTCCACGCTATGTCCTTTGCGGGCAGGGAAAGGATGAGCATTATGAATATGAAATAAAGGTAAGGTTTTTGAGGGTTTTTTATTTAAAAATCAAAACTATTTTCCCATTTTTTTGCATGCCATTGCAAGGGAAGATTCAAATATTTTGTGAGAGTTTCCTATGGGTTACTTTTCTTATTTTCTTTGTGGACATGCCTTGAACCAGAGCTTCCAAGCAGTAGATCTGGTCTTTTACTGTTTGCATGGAACAGCAGTAGTGAAGCATGGAAGTGACATTGGATTATACCCATTGGTCGCATTATCCTAGTAAAAGCCAACATATCTGATTTTTCCAGTTTTCTCCACTCATTTAGCCACAACTCCCCAAAACTATTTCTCTGGAGGACCATCTGTAACAGAATGAGATATGGAACAGAGTAGACTGGGCTTGAAAGAGCTGTATGTACATATTCAGAAAAAAATTAAAAAATGGATGCGATTATTGGCAGACATTTTGAGCTGGAGGTAGGGGACAGACATAGAAAAAGAATGCATGATTTCAAGAAGTTTGCAAAATTAGTTTGAGAGCCAATGGCTTAATCATTGGGTGTTACTAATGTAATTCTCCATTTTGTATTTTATACTGTTGAGCCCTAGCCCGGGTTCAGGCCTAGATTTTTTACAGTTCTGCGTTAGTGAATCTGTTTCCTTTCCATGCATTTAACCGACAAATGCCTATATACCGTATATACTCTAGTATAAGCCGACCCGAATATAAGCCGAGGCACCTAATTTTACCACAAAAAACTGGGAAAACATATTGACTCGAGTATAAGCCGAGGGTGAGAAATGCAGCCGCTACTGGTTAATTTCAAAACTAAAATTAGATATCACAGCAAACCAGCTGGCAGACAGGCTGCACGCGTGGCGAATAGGAGAGCAGAGAAGCTGCACACGGGGCAAGTGAAGGGGAAACGGAGTCACGTACCTCCCTCCTTGCACAATGCCGCGCACGCATGCATGCCTCCATTTCTCCACTCACTGTGCATGCAGCCTCTCTTCCTTCCACGCACACAGCAAGACAAGCAGGGAGGGAGGTGCATGCCTCCATTTCTCCCCCCATTTGCCGTGCACGCGCCCTCTGTTCTCCGCATAGCAACCCAGCTGGGTTGCTGTTCGGAGAGCAAGACAGGTTGCGCACAGGGTGAATGGGGGAGAAACTGAGGCGTGCACCTCACTCCCTGCATGCCTCCATTTCTTCCCCATTCAACGCGCATGCAGCCTCTTCCTGCTTGTCTTCCTGTGTGCGCGGAAGGAAGAGAGGCTGCATGCGCGTTGAATGGGGAAGAAATGGGGAAGAAATGGAGGCATGCAGGGAGTGAGGTGCACGCCTCAGTTTCTCCCCCATTCACCCTGTGCGCAACCTGTCTTGCTCTCCGAACAGCAACCCAGCTGGGTTGCTATGCGGAGAGCAGAGGGCGTGTGCACAGCGAATGGGGGGAGAAACGGAGGCGTGCACCTCCATTTCTTCCCCATCCATGCGCATGCAGCCTCTCTTTCTTCCGCGCACACAGCAAGATAAGCAGAAAGAGAGGCTGCATGCGCGTTGAATGGGGAAGAAATGGAGGCGTGCGTGCACACGTGGCAGGGAGGGAGGTGCACGCCTCCGTTTCTCCCCCCATTTGCCATGCACGCGCCCTCTGCTCTCCACATAGCTACCCAGCTGGGTTGCTGTTTGGAGAGCAAGACAGGTTGCGCACAGGGTGAATGGGGGGAGACACGGAAGCTGTGGGGGTGAAGACAAGGCCAGGGATTCCACCAGCCAGCCTTTTTTTCCTCAGCTTTTTCTCCTTCACCTGAATATAAGCTGAGGGGCTTTTTCAGCCTCCTAAAAGGGGCTGAAAAACCCAGCTTATATTTGAGTATATACGGCATGTGTTCTGCAGAACATAGTTGTGCATTGAGTGAAGCCACATTCACAGAGTTGAAGGCAAACCAGCTCTTAATTTTAATGATGCTGTAGCAATGTGAGCATCATTTCTCTCTTGTGTGATGAAGCAGTATGTGAATACAGAATTATAGGTGGGCATAACCCATATTGGCAACCTTCCTCCAAATCTGTTTGGAGGAGCAAATCCTCGCAATCAGCCCTCCTCATAAGATTCAGTTGATTACCTACAACCTACAGCCATGTGGATTTATTCCTAGTTGCTTCCATGCAACTGTGGCTATGAGTAAGGAATCTTTCTGAATACTGAGAATGCAGGTTTATTCTGTTCCCAATTCTAACTGCTAGTTTAGCATCTCTCCATGTTCTCTTTCCATTACTTCTGCCAGTAATAGTTTACCTGGGAGCAATCAGCAATTACAGGAAGCCAAATAAATGTGTTTATCTGAAAGTGAAATGCTTCTTTCTCTTTATTGAAACCATTTCTCTACCTTTATGTAACAGATTTCAGTTCTCGGTGAGACATGGACAGTATTTAGGCGATACAGTCGTTTTAGAGAAATGCATCAAACACTAAAATTAAAATACCCAGAGGTAAGTTCCCAATATTTTTTTTACTCATGTTTACATTAATCATTTGGTTCTATGGCTCTCACGCAACAGATAAGCTTCTGCTTTTCAGGATCCTTTTTTTGGGGGCGGGGGGGATTTATCACAAATGGCACTCATGGTGTGTGAGGTTATGGAATGGTGATATTTGTTGATTGGCTGATAGTGTTTCTTACTATCATACATTTGGTTGACTAATTTGTACTAAGTTATAGAATGTCTTGAATTTTATATTTTATGTATATGTCTCAGTGTGATAACATTGTTAAATGTTGATAAATTAATGAGGTTTGTTGATTTACTAATTTGGACCTATTATTTCACAACTGAGAAGATCCGCTATTATTTTTGTGAATATTTTATACTCCACATTGCATAAAGCAATAGGCCTATAGGTGTTAGGATCAGTTCCCTCTTTATTTGGTTGTAAAATTGTTGTAATTTCAGATTTTTTTCATGTCTCTGGAATTAATTCATTTTCCATGATTTCATTATATAGTATTATTATGTTAGGGGTTAAGGAGCCCCCAATGGCGCAGTGGGTTAAAGTGCTGAGCTGCTGAGCTTGTTGACCGAAAGGTTGCAGGTTTGAATCCGGGGAGTGACGTGAGCTTCCGCTGTCAGCCCCAGCTTCTGCCAACCTAGCTGTTCGAAAACATGCAAATGTGAGTAGATCAATAGGTACCGCTCCGACGGGAAGGTAACGGTGCTCCATGTAGTCATGCTGGCCACATGAGCTTCGAGGTGTCTATAGACAACATCGGCTCTTCGACTTAGAAATGGAGATGAGCACCAACCCCCAGAGTCGGACACGACTGGACTTAATGTCAGGGGAAAACCTTTACCTTTACCTAAGTTAGGGGTTATTTCCTTTTGAAAAAAAATGTAGAAATGTGTAGTGAGTCCATCGAGTCCTGGTAAGGAATTAATTTTTAAGTTTTTTATTACCTCTATTTCATTGCTAGTTATGTTCATATCCAATGTTGCTTGGGAGAGAGGACCTAATTTATTTATTTTTTGAGTAATCCTTCTGATCTCACAATATCCTTATCCGTGTAAAGCTTTTCGTAATAATTGACCATTATTTCCTTTAGGTGTTCCTCCCTTGTTTTTATTTGGCCTGTCCCATCTTTCAATTTAATCATTTTTGTTTTCCCTTGTTTCTTTTTTAGAAGACTTGCTAATTTCTTCGTGTTGTTTATAGAGTTTGTCTGAAAGTCATTTCTTTGTACTTTCGATTTCCTCTAAGTTTTCTAGTTTTTTTTTTATCTCTTTCCATTTCTCTTTTTTCCTCACCATTTGGTCTTTTTGGAATGATTGGAATGCTTCTTCTTCTGATCTCAATATCCTTAATCTTTCATTTTCCCTTTTATTTATGCCCTTCTCGATTGTTATACATTTTCTTCTAATTACTGCCTTGAAGGCATCCCAAACTATGCTTGCTTTCGACAATACATTATGCTTGCTTTCATTCCAGGGGTTCTATTTAGGTTAAAATATTGAGTAATTTGTTCTTTTATCTCTTTTCTGTCTGTCTTTTATAAGCAACTTTTGGGTTAAATCGCCATTTTTTCACTTTGATTATGGTAAAATTTTCAAATTTTACCATAATCATTGTTTCCTGGCCATTGTTCGCCCACCAAAAGTTCCTTTATTGGCAATGCGTTGTTAATACCTACCAGGAAATAGTTTATGGTAGAAAATGCTGAGTGTCTGTGTGAGTAGTATGTGGGAATATCTGTTCTTTCCCCTATTCTACTATTAGCCTCTATTAAGTTCCACTTACTAAAATTTATCTTGCTGTTTCCTGTTCCATTACTCTTCTGTCCAAAGGGGTGAAATAAATCCAACAGAAACTGCTGTTCAGCTAACTAAATAGCCACATATTCGATGATGATAATAATAATAATAATAATAATAATAATAATAATTATAATTATTATTATTATTATTATTATTATTATTTTATTTCTTACCCGTTCTCCTTGTGGGTTACAATATAGCTAAAAACACATAATAATTGTAAACATTCTATAAAATATACATATTGAAACTTATTTCTGTAAAATTCATAATAAAATACACAGAACAAAGATTAAAACAAGACACAAGTTTAAAATTCATTATGGAAACTGACTGGGTAGGCTAGCTGGAAGAAATAGGTCATCTGGCAGGTCATTTCACAATCTAAGGGTGGCCGATGAAAAGGTCCTCTGGGGGATGGTCAGCCTTTGACTTCTGACTGGTTGGAATATCTGCCCCCCAGAGGACCTACGTAAGAGTTCAGGGGGGATTGTATGGAAGAAGGTTATTTATTTATTGTGTCATCAGAACCATACCATTGTATTACATTTCTAACAGAACAAAACAAACAAACAGATTAAAAAAAACACAGATTTTGCAAACTTGGTAGTTGATTAAATGTCCTTTGACCAGTATCTGGCCACTTGGAGTGCTTCTGGTGTTGCTGCAAGGAGGTCCTCCATGGTGTGTGTGGCAGGGCTCAGGATGCATTGCAGCAGGTGGTCAGTGGTTTGTTCTTCTCCGCCCTCGCATGTCGTGGATTCAACTTTGTAGCCCCATTTCTTAAGGTTGGCTCTGCATCTCGTGGTGCCAGAGCGCAGTCTGTTCAGCGCCTTCCAAGTCGCCCAGTCTTCTGTGTGCCCAGGGGGGAGTCTCTCATTTGGTATCACCCATGGATTGAGGTGCTGGGTTTGGGCCTGCCACTTTTGGACTCTCGCTTGCTGAGGTGTTCCAGCGAGTGTCTCTGTAGATCTAAGAAAACTATGTCTTGATTTAAGTTGTTAACGTAACGTGGACTCAAACCATGTAGGGCTTTAAAGGTAAAACCAACACTTCGTACTTTGCCCAGAAACTAAGTGGCTGGAGTAACTTTAGTGTAGGTGTGATAATCTCACTCCTTATAAGTGGCTGGAAAAGAAAGTATCTTCACTCGCTTCTACAAGTGGGATAATCTCTTTATCCTATGCCACTGTCTGCATAGTTCAGGGTCCACCCTGTTGCACTTTTTGAGATGTTTCTACTGAATTTCATTTGTTTTCTATTTTTAACACAGAGATAGCAACTGACCCACAGTCATCCTATAAGCTTCATGGTGGGAACGTGTAGTGTATCCATTGCTCCAGTAAAGCACCATAACTATGATAGCACCCTGATGTAAAAATAAAATGAAATGAAGATTTAGAAGATTTAGAAGTACCCTCTATTGTTTTATGTAGGCGTGCAGAAGAAAAAGCAAAACAGTTGCTCTATTCTAGTCTTCTTGCAGCTACCAGGCACTCTGAAGTATGTGTTTTTGTCTGTCGGCAGGGGCGGCTCAACCATTATGCAAAGTAAGCATTTGCAGTATAGTTGATTTTGCCCAGAGGCGCTCTTGAGGCGCTCTTGGGGGAAAATAGACCTTGACATATGTGAGTTGTAGTTACTGGGATGTATAGTTCACCTACAATCAAAGAGCATTCTGAACTCCACCAATGATGGAATTGAACCAAATATGGCACACAGAACTCCCATGACGAACAGAAAATATATATCAGTAATTGGTGGTGGTGGGGGGGGGGGGCGCCATACTGTTTGCTTACTGTAGAAAATTACCTAGGGCCGCCTCTGTCTGTCTGTCCATATGGAAGTCTCAGAGTAATAAAAGTGGTTGCCTTTTTCTTGGGCACACCTGCACATCGACCAGTGTAGCAACTATGTCATTCTTTTTAAGATAGATCTATTATCCATTAAAACTGGGAATAGTTGCTTGGAGGTTTTCCTAGCCTTTATTTGACATTTCCTTCCTTATTATAATGAAGCTAACTTTAGGGCATTTGTGAATTACTCTTTTCACTGATGATTTATTGTAATTTTCCTTTGAATTCCTCCTTGCACTTCTCTTATTCATGTGCTCTCACAGCTTATTATTTCACATGTATTTTTAAGATTTTTGAGAGCTGTTTAAATACTTCTCAGTGTTCTGTTGGAAATTCTATATGGTTGAGATCTGGATACATAACAAAAATTGAGATGGGGGTTTCAGGGGGCTGGAATAGATTAATAGCATTTCAGTGGGAAAATTGCTTTGAGATAAGAGTTTTGTGTTCAGAGCTTGGCTACAGAACAAATTAAACTCTCAGTTCGTGTGGGTTTTTTCGGGCTATATGGCCATGTTCTAGAGGCATTTCTCCTGAGGATGCTTGCCATAGATGCAGGCGAAACGTCAGGAGAAATGCCTCTAGAACATGGCCATATAGCCCGAAAAAACCCACAAGAACTGAGTGATTCCAGCCATGAAAGCCTTCGACAATAAATTAAACTCTTACGTCAAGGTATCACTGTACTTTTTTTCCCCATGGCACGTGCACACAACAAAAATAGCTGTAAAAAGTGTTTCTGTGCCACATCTGTCTCCACTAACTCATGCTTTTTATAGACATGTTTGCATGTACTAAACTAGATTATATGCTAGATGTCATCAAAGCTTATGCAGTCTTCACACTATTACTCCTGTGTTCCAGAGAAGAGGACTTAACCATAAATCAGTTTCACTTTCTGTAATTACTCATTTGTTGTTATATATGAACTTGAAGTTATGATTGAAAAGAAGCTCTTGTTAGTTAAATCAACAAAACCAACTGTGGTTAGTAAGTAGCATGGTTTCCTGGTGGATTGTGCAACAGGAAGCCACATATTACAGAAACTAAAACTGAGTTTTCTTCAAGTTGTTTTAAACCTGTGGCAACTCAGAGCCCATCCATACAGGCCCAAAATGCGGGACCTGTCTGGGTTTTTACCGGGGACTTCCAAATGACATTCCGGAAAAAACAAAAGAATTCAAAATAACCTCACTTATTTCTTTTTAGCAAGATTTCTTTTTAGCAAATGAAGGAGATTTTATTTGTCGTGTCTGGGCAACCAGTCAATTGTATTACATTCCTAACAGAACAAAACGAACAAACAAGACAAACAGACAAAACACA